TCCCTGATCCAGAGTCCCTCCCCATCTCTCCTGGAGCCCCTTGAGGGACTGGAAGGGGCTCCAAGGTCTCCCCGGAGCCTTCTCTTCTCCAGGCTGAACCCCCCCAACTCTCTCAGCCCCCCCTCCCAGCAGAGGGGCTCCAGCCCTCCCAGTATCACCATGACCTTCTTCTCTCCCCCAAGGTGTCCTCCCCACCCTTGGCCGATGCCGTAACGAGACTCCAGGAAGGAAACCCCCTTTCTCCCACCTTTTCTCCCACGGGATGTGGCTTTGGGGGGGTGAGGGGGGGGATCCCCGAGGTGTCTCCTGTCCCCCCCCCCCCTCACCTGGTCGCACCGACTGCACCAGGACGACGCGGTCCCCGCTGACGGTGAAGCCGAAGCCATGTTGGTCCTTCTGGATGATGACGCAACGTTGGACCAGACCTGGGGATGGAAGAGGAAGGAGAAGACCTGAGACTCCAAGTCTTGAGGATGAAGGGGGCCACCTCAGCTTGTGGGGACATCCCACCCCCCCAGGTCTTCTTGCATCTTGCCCCCAAATTGAGCCACGTGATGGCCCTTTATGGGACACCTTCTCCTCAAAATAGGGTGTCCTGGTGGGCATGGGGTGGGTGGGAAGAGCTCCTGGCCACTGGACCACCATCCCTGGCCCCACTGGGCTTCCCCTCCCCAGGGCATGAGTGGGCAGGGACACGGGTGGCAAAGTGCCACCAAGCTCCTCCATGGGGACAGTCCTGGAGGGACTTAGGGGCAAGGGAAGGAGAAGGTTGGAGAAGGAAGACCCACCTGTGGTTTCGGAGGAGTCAGAGGGCTGGCGGTGGTGGCCGGGGGACCTGCGCTCCGAAGAGGAGTCACCCAGGGAAGACAGACTGCTCAACCTGCCAGGAGTAAGAGGAGGAGGAGGAGAGGTCAGGGAGGGGATGGCTGGATGGAGCCATCCTCCAACCATGGTGGGACCAGGGACACACATCTTCTGGCCATGGTGGGACCAGGGATGAAGCCATCCTTGGCCATGGTGGGACCAGGGACAAAGCCATTCTTGGCCATGGTGGGACCAGGGACAAACCCATCCTTTGGCCATGGTGGGACCAGGGATGAAGCCATCCTTGGCCATGGTGGGACCAGGGATGAAGCCATCCTCCGGCCATGGTGGGACCAGGGATGAAGCCATCATCCAGCCACAGTGGGACTGGGGACAGAGACATCTTCTGGCCATGGAGGAACTGGGGACAAAGCCATCCTTGGCCATGACTGGGTGATGATGCCATCATCCAGCCACAGTGGGACTGGGGACAAAGCCATCGTCCAGCCATGGAGGAACCACGGACTAAGCCATCCTCCAGCCATGGTGGGACTGGGGACAAAGTCATCCTTGGCCATGGTGAGACCACGGACAAAGCCATCATCCAGCCACAGTTGGACTGGGGACAAAGCCATCGTCCAGCCATGGAGGAACCAGGGACAAAGCCATCCCCTGGCCATGGTGGGACAGGGGACAAAGCCATGCTCCAGCCATGGTGGGACTGGGGACAAATTCATCCTTGGCCATGGAGGAACCAGGGACAAAGCCATCCTCTGGACATGGTGGATCAGGGGACAAAGCCAACCTTGGCCATGGTGGGACCAGGGATGAAGCCATCATCCAGCCACAGTGGGAATGGGGACAGAGACATCTTCTGGCCATGGTGGGACTGGGGACAAAGCCATCCTTGGCCATGACTGGGTGATGATGCCATCGTCCAGCCACAGTGGGACTGGAAACAAAGCCATCCTCCAGCCATGGAGGAACCAGGGACAAAGCCATCCTCCAGCCATGGTGGGACTGGGGACAAAGTCATCCTTGGCCATGGTGGGACCATGGACAAAGCCAGTGTCCAGCTGCAGTTGGACTGGGGACAAAGCCATCCTCTGGCCA